GCTCCCCGGGGAAAGCCTGTAGCAGCACCTCCCTGCTGCGCGGGCCCCCTCGCGTCGCACCCGCTTCCCAGAGAGCCTCGTCCTCGCGCGTCGCAGCATCCCTGCCCTTGGCACTATTTACACGTCTCCGACTTCCACGACTCCTTAACCCCCACCTGCCTCAGAGCCCACCTCCACCGAAGGGGAGGTAGTTCGACCCCCGACATGGCGTCGGCGATGACAGACCACAATCCTCGCGCGGCCGAGGCCTCTGGCACCTACACCTACACCAGCAGGCCCCGGGCCGTGCCTTGCCAGCGCCGCCGCTACCGGGACAGCCTGTTGCAGCCGTGAGTGACCCGAGTAGCTCCTGTCCGGTCCCCACTCTGCATGCCCATCTGCTTTCCCATGTGTACACGCGGTCAAAACCCCCTGCCCTGAAAGAACGCAACTGTGTGGTTAAACAGAAGCACAGCTGGCCTGAGCCATGGCGTGGACACGAGTGGTTATAGACAGCCACCACCAGACACCACGCGGCGAGGGGGCATTCTCATACACACTATTAATCCACAGTTCTGCCAAGTTGGGTTCGTGTTTCCTCCCCTCCCCCCGCCCCTTCCTGCAGACGAGGAAAATGAAGCATGGAGTGATATATAGTACAATGAGAGAGCCCGCCACCTAAAGCTCTTTTCACACCCGTCTGGGTGGAATTGGGTTAGCCTTCCATGCAGGACCACAAAATGTATTGTGGCCCTAGCATTTACAGTTTATGTAAGAGACCACAGAGTTTATAGTTCTCTTGGAGTTAAGTTTTGGAATAGCAGAACGTAAGAGTTCAAGCTTCGGTGGGCGTTGGTGGTGCACGCCTTTAGTACCAGCACTCGGGAGGCAGAGGCAGGTGGATCTCTGTGAGTTCGGAGACCAGCCTGGTCTACAAGAGCTAGTTCCAGGACAGCCTCCAAAGCCACAGAGAAACCCTGTCTGGAAAAAAACAAACAAACAAACAAACAAAAGAGTTCAAGCTTCAGGAAGCAGGGATCTCTGCACCCTTCCTATACCTTGGACCTTGCCTGTCACACAGGAAGCTCTCAATGTAAATTGAAGTGGTGATTGAACACTTGTAACTCTTGGCCAGGTCTGGCACAAACCTGTTACCCTAGCTCACCCAGAAATAGAAGCAGTAGGGATGGTTGATTTTTTTTTTCTTACAGTCAATTGATTTTTATGTTGAAATGTGTTGACTAATAGGTCAGTGTATCAAAGTAATACAGAAACCACAGTAAAATGTTTCATGGAAGTAGTTATTACCAATCAGAATATGTGAGACCCTTACCATAAAAAAATGATTACCTTCATGATACCCTTATAAATGAACATATTGGGGGGAATGCCATTAGCTGAATCTGCTGGCCAGTGACTATCTATGTAACCATGTCCAAAGAGTGAATGTGTTTAGGTCAGTCTGCCTCTGCTCTACAAGGTCCTTAGTCCAACCAATCTTGTTCAAAAGTTTCTGTATTGACCATAGGAAATAACTTCTCCAGATAACACATCGATAGACTAGATCACAAGGTGTCTAAGGGGAGTCAAGATTATAAATTATCTTGATGAGGTATATAACTGGGATGATTCCCGGTTTTTTATTTAGGTATGAGAAGCCAACACAAAAATAGGACTATCTCATTTTTCTCTCAGTAACTTAAAATTTTAAGATTAATACAAGCCTGATGTGGTTCAAGGGCGTCTGCCCATTTCTAACACAATAAATCGTAAAAGTGGAAGAAACCATTATAATACAAGTTTTCTTATTTATAAGCCAAAAGTTTTAACAGTTTGAGCATCCCTAATCTGGAAACCTGAAGCTTTTTTAAAATGTGTATGTGAGTGTTTCTGTGTGTGTGTGTGTGTGTGTGTGTGTGTGTGTGTGTGTGTGTGTGTGTGTGTGTGTGCATGGGCGTGCTGGTGTCAGTGGAGCCCAGAAGTGAGCAGCAGATCCCCTGGAGCTGGAGGTGCAGAGGGTTGTGAGCTGCCTAACATGGGTGCTGGGAACCAAACTCTGGTCCCCTGAAGGAGCAGTATGAATATTTAGCCCTTGAGCCATTTCTCTAGTCCCCAAACCTAAAGATTTTTGAGTGCCATGATGCCACAATAGAAAATTCCACATAGGACATTATGTGACTGGTCATAGTCAGAATACAGGCACTGTAAAAATATTGTATATAATTACCTCCAGGCTATGTATGTAAGGCATATATGGAACATGTTTACATTTGAGTCATATATTCCAACTGTGAGAAAAAATGTGAAATATTTTAGTTCAGATAAGAGTACTCAGTGTGTACACATTATATGTATTTGTTGATAGTTAACAATCACAAATACATAAGCACAGTAACATCCACCAGTAGGCTTGTGCCCAAACCAAAATACGGCATCCTCCTCTTACAAATCTGTTAGTAAAGAGCATACAAACCTTAGTAAGTATTTTTAATACAAAGAACTAAAAGAATTGCACTGTACCTTTTGTTTGACTCTAATCAAATGAAGCTTAGCATTGTCATGGTGGACAGAATATGTTGTTGGTTCCCTAGAGATGTCCTCACCATAATCCCCAGAACCTGTGAATGAACTGCCTTGTATGGTCAGATGCTCTTATCAGTATAATTAAATTTCAGATGTTAAGATGGGGAGGTTGTCCTGGATGTCTAGGTGGGGCCAGTGTCATCTCAGTGAACCCATACAAGTGAAAGGAGGAGGCAGAGGCTAGAGGAAGGCTCTATTAGACACTCCTCTCTGGTGGCTATGATCCTATACCTTATAGAAGAAACAGAATGGAGGAAAAGTTGACTTTGGCTTCTGATTCAAGGGGATGCCATTCATCATAGCAGGGAAAGTGGCTCTTTATTGTTCATAGTGTGATCAAATATCCCACAACACAGATGGATTTGTGTAACTTTTTAATTCAGATTTAAAGAGACCCCCCCCCTACACACACACACACACACACACACACACACACACACAACAATGAGAATTGTTCCCATTTATTAAGCACTGCTGTGGTGCCAGGAATTAAAGCCCTCACAACAGCTCCAAGAAGTAGGTAGTATTACTTTCATTTCCCAAGGTCATGCAACTAATATGTTATAGCCACAGTCTATGCACAGATTGATTTCACAATCTAGACCACTTGTGGACCAGTTGGCTGTACATGGAAGCAATTCACTTCTTTCTTTAAGTCATCTGTGTGCAGTGTGTCAGCATGCTAGAATTCAGAGGGAACATTTAAGAAAAGACCCTTAGGAGTCTACCAAATACTGAGAAAGGCAGGCACTAAACATGTCACTGTACACCAAGAGAGAAGCAAGGCATGCTGGGAGGGCATAGAAGAAGGCCACTAGCCCTGTAGAGGACATAGGACATGTAGTAGGGCCTGAAGAAATAGTCAAATGAGTTTGGAGATTGGGCCAAGGCATAGGGGAAGGAAATGTTTCAAAAGAAGAAATCACATGTTCAAAACTCCCATTAAAAAAAAAGTCAAGACTCTGTAAGACCAGTGTGGTTAGAAAACAGGAAGACCCAGGAGGTGAGAGACCCAGGTAGGCATGGGAAAGCAGTGGAAACAGTCTGTGAAACCAGAGGGCTACATTCAGCTTTCCTTTTTATGCCACTGGTGTTGGAAGCAGAAAGGCCAGGGAAGAGAATGGGGAATAGCTAAGAGGGGGGCTTAAAAATGACCCTCATTGTTGGTTTTCAGCTTATAAAAGTATATTATCCTTATAGAAACAACTGTAAATAAAAGATGGGTGGATAACAACAATTAATCGTCTTCTGATCACTCTGCTTCTTCTGTGTTAAAATCAGATTTAACCATTTTTGATTGTTCTTGTTTGTATTCATATAAATGACCATATATATCAGAGAGATTTCTTTCCAAAATAAAATAAACTAGTATATAGTTAGCTTTCCCCTCTTATTAAATAAGCTTTAAGTCTATTTTCCTCCTATTTTCTTGTTTGTACAAGCACATACATATTTATAAAAAGCATTCAAAAGAATCCGTCATGCCTAGGGCATTCTTAGGACTTATATTTCAACCCTTCCCACTTTCTTGCCTGTAGGCCCACTCCTGTCCTTAATGCAAGCCATGTTATCAGTTTTGTATGCATTTTTTGTACTTCATTTTTGTACTTCTTTCCAGGCTCTCATATTTATTTTCAAATTCACGGCTTATTTGTGACTACACAACAATAGCGCTCTCTCTCTCTCTCTCTCTCTCTCTCTCTCTCTCTCTCTCTCTCTCTCTCTCTCTCTCTCTCTCTGTGTGTGTGTATTTGTGTGTGTGGTCTCACTGAACAGGGACCAAGAAAACTAACAGAGGAGGGAGCAGACTGATTTTGGCTCACACTTTGGGAGGCTTTGGTTACACGGTCATTTGTTTCTGGAGGTGAGGCAGAGAATCATGGTGGAAAGAGTGTGGGGAAACAGAAATGCTCATTTCATGGCAGCCAGAAAGCAGAGTAGAAAATAACAGAAAAGATCCAGAGCCAAGATTCACCTTCAGGGTCATACTCTAATGACTTCACTTCATCCATTTAAACATAACTTTCTATAATTCCACTTCTCCAATGTCTGTGCAAATTTTGAATCCACCAGTGGTCCAAATTATTGATAAGGTCGGAGAGCTCCTGACTAGTCATCTCTAGGACATCCACACAGACACCTACAAGTTTGCTTTATTGATCTCCTAGGTATCTCTCAAGCCAGTCAATCAAGATGAACATCACAGTTTGTTTCACAGCAACAGTAGCATACACAGGTTTGACCCTCTTAATAATTGGATTGCTCACTGTCTTCCATGGCATTGTGATAATGCAGAGTATGGGTGTAACTGTCACTGTTAAAACTTTGCACTGACAGGGCGTTGGTGGCGCAAGCCTTTAATCCCAGCACTCGGGAGGTAGAGGCAGGTGGATCTCTGT